AAACAATATTTTATAAATTTATATGCTTAAAGAAAAAGTTTTTAAAGTAAAAAGGGAAATTATTAAATGAAACAATATTTTGAAGAATTTAAGTTCAACAAAAGTCAATGAAGTTGATGTGACATCTGTAACTCGTATTATGAGACATATATGAGCTATGGGTGTTACATGCCCATTCACCAATATTAAAATCTTACCACAAGATACAAAATGACCATTCCAACATACAACTGCAAAATTATGTGTCAAACATGATGTTCAAAATCCACCAAATAAAAGGGGAAAGAAGAATAGAGCTTCACTTCTATGCTAAGATCAATGAACAAGACAAGTTAAAAACTGGTAGCAGTCAACATGAAATAGGACAAGTTAAAAAATGGTAGCAGTCAATATGAATAGAGCTTCACTTTTATACGTTTTGATCACTCAATTATTTTTTTTTTGTTTTAAAACCATACCTAACATTATATTTTAGTTTCATTTTGATCATCTGCCGTTAAAAAATTAATGATAATGTTGATTTGTCATCATAAGGTAATATCACTTCATCATTGACAAACTTTAAAAATTTCACGTCAACATTTCTACTAATTTTTTAACGTAGTGACCAAAATGAAACCAAAATGTAACTTTAGGTATGATTTTAAAAAAAATAGTTAGATTACTAAAATAAAACAAAAATGATAGTTATTTACTAAACGCATAGTTTTATCCTATGAAATAAAGGCGAAAGAAGAGAGCTTGTAAAAGAGTCAGTGAGGTTGCAAATATCCTTGTAATGCAGCCATGACAAAATTATGAATTTCGCAGCAGCATGTCGAGTTCAATAGTGATGAGATGAGACCTAATCAAACAACTGTAGACAAACTAATGGAGAACAATGAGAAGCTTTAATGATTTGAGGGTTTTAATGAGACCTAATCAAACAACCGGTAGCTAATGCTTCCAAATATTACATTAAAAAGAGATGACGAAATCAACAACCAATTGGTATAATAAGATGAGACACTAGATCACTTAAATAAGATCATGAGTTCGAATCCCAACGTTTGTGAATAAAATAAACTGAGTTGCGAATAGATCGGATATTGATGGTTAAAAAAATAATGAAAGTGGATGCAAAAGGATCCATCTAGTCAAACTTTTCATTGACAGCACAATATCCTACAACGGGCAAGAAGCAGACATCATTTCTCCTAGTAAAACAAATGATGCAAAGCCAAACAATTAATTGATGTTAATGACGGTAACAACTGCGAAATTTCAAGATGCACAATTTTGTGAGCATATTACTAATAAGATTGGTTAATATTCCTTGCATGAAAATTCCTCAGTTGCATTTATCATTAATACAATTTTCTTAACAAGGAAAGCACAAATCATAATGTATAGCCTGCAGAAATGTACAAATGCTCACTTGCTATTCATGATGGAAGCCCACACTTACAATATTATTCGAACGAACTATTTACTTTTGGTCCTTCAGTTTCTCATTTTCCAGGTACTTCAACACTCCATATGCAACAGTTCCAGCAAGAAACAAGACAACAGTAGAGGTGAAAGATGGGTACAAGTACTTCACAAAGAACTTATCCCATTCTTCTGGTAGGAAGCCTGTAAATATAGAACAACTAATAAGTTATTTGGAAAAGCACTTTCATACTATGATATGAACGGGAACGGATGCAAGATTTTATGTTAGGAGATGAACTTCTAAAATTTTAAGAGGGGTCAAACTTATAAAATTCTAGGGGCAAAAACAGATTATTAATTAAAAAGACAAAGAAAATATCTGAAATATATACTCATTTGAAATTTTGAGAGGACGACTACCCTCACCCGTCCCGTCACAGTCCATCCCGGGACATGAACAACTTCATGGAAATGCGGCTTGTTGTTACCGCTTTTCGCATAATTGAGATCACTTTGCATTTATCAGAGGTATAGAGCCTCCAATGTTCTAATGAAGAAAGTAAATACAAACAATAACCTTGAACCAGCACATCAAATACAAATTGGTGAATCTTTACATACTTCCTTCTGAAGAATGAAAAACTAAACGGACTTGTATGGTGTCAAGGTTTTATCTGCACATATATATTTTGTTGATGGGAACAAAGGGGTTGTACCAACCGTTGACGTTTCATCCTTCCGATTTAGGCAGAAAACTGCAGTTGGTGCAAGAACGGTCTTTAGCCGATGGCAATGACTATTAGTAAGCTGTCTCAGACAAGATGGTTACTGCTGTTGGAGCATATTTGTCTCCAATAAATCATGTTGGACCGTCAAAAATCTAATTGTAGGGTTGCCATCATCCGGGAAGTATTGGACTCCGGATAAATCGTTGACAAAGATACCATCTCCGGTGGTGTAACAATACTGTCTCCGGAGGTGTAACAATATTGAATTAGATGCCATGAACTAAGGCTTATTAGATCAAGAACCTGATATGTAAGGCTTATTAATAAACTAGGATTTTTGGTTTTTGTAACTGTCAGACTTGCCTTCTTTGCCCTTCACTGTTAAAGACTGAAGTTTCCTGTTGGTCTAGTTAACCATGGTATACAGCAGTTTCAAAGGTATAATCCAATATCAGATGAGCTAATTTGCTACTACAATAATCTTCGCAATTGTCAACAAAATTACTAAACAGTGCACTTTCTTGATATCCAAAAACTCGTTCAACAGAAAGTACTAAAATCAGGTTTATACTAGAAAGAAATGGTTATCCAGAAAATAAGAAGAAAGTACTAAACAGTGGTTTGTCGAATCACCTGAAGCAGCAAGAACAATGCCTTGCACAATAATGATCCCACCAAGCCCCAACCACGCAAGTAGAAAAGCACTCTCATTTTTTCTCTGTTCCTCCGCCTTTGCCTCTTCTTCTTTGCTCACAAAAGCGGGTGTCTCAACCGGCGACCGCCTTATTATAGACGCTCTCTCTCTTTTCCCCTTCTTCTTTTTTTTCTCTACTGCTGCTGCTGCTTGGCTTACCCGAGGGTGATGAGGAGGAAGAAGAGAAGTCAAACCCTCGACCAGGCGCGGTGGGCTTTTTGGGCTCAGGAGTGGGCTCGGCGTCAGCAGCTGGTTTCTCCGATTTGACGGAAAATTTGGGTTTTGGGAAGATGAAGTTGCGGTGGTAAAATCCGGTAGCTAAAGAAGATGGAGCTTGGATTCGTAGCGCCATTTTCAGTTTTAGTTGGTTAAGCGGATGGCTTCGTGGCCTTCATCTTTTGCCTTTCATGGCTTATTGGTTATATCTCATGTCTTCCCCCCTCAAAATCTAGTATTTATCCTTCCACACCCAACTTTATTATTTTTAAAATTTTTTGGGATAAAACAACACTTAGTCCTTAAATCTGAGAAGTTATTCAACTTAATCCCTTTAATCCACATTAGTCTTGAAATTTGACAATTTTTTCCCTCTCAACTTGAGCCTTTGCAAGGCCTAACTAGCATACTAATTAGACTAACAATAGATTTATTAATCTATTTTTTTTTACTAATTGGAGTGAGTACAAGATAATATATATTCAAAGACTTTTAATCGTTTGCATTAAGTGCACATACTCTTGACATGCATGGTATTTAAATCCGAAACCTCAATAAATAATAAAATTCTTTAACTATTGAAGTCACTTGGCTCATGCTAATATATTACAATAATTAAGGGTGTGTTTAAACACTAAAATATAATCATATGAAAACTATATTTATTATATAAGTGATTACATTCTTGTTATTCAAATACAGGAAACACAAGTACAAAACATGAATATATATATATTATAGTGTCAAAAAAATCTCCAACATTTGATTAAATACTCATTTTAATCTCTATTTTATTTACCGAATTGGCCTTCAACTTTTTGTTTTTGGATAAAAAGAACCCTCTATAGATGAAAACTATTAGTTAACAAACGGTTAACACTCTACAATAGAGATTTTTTACCTTAAAATGAAACATTGAGGGTCAAAATACTTCAGAAAAAAACGCCAAATGACTCTTTGGTCAAATGTTAATTTTATCCTAAAATGAAACGTTGAGGCCAAAACACTTAAAAAAAGAATATGAGCCAAAATAATTATTTTATAAAAAAGTTGAGGGGCTAATTTTGATATCACAGGCAACAAAGGTACTTTTATGAATAGTATAATATAATTACACGGTCTATTTAAATTGTTTTTAATCAATTGATAATGTATCTTACAGGCACAATTACCCAAAATGTAAAACTTCTAAGACAACAACATTAATTTTACAACGGTAAAACATGGATAGTTGGAATATTGAGACATTATGCAACATACTATATATGAATTCAATTTTTAGGCATTTAAAGTTTCTTTAGCATCCAATTCAAGAACCTCAAGCCAAAATGATTTAGATTTTAGAAATAAAAGTTCAATTATTCCCATCAGGAAAAAATATATATAAAAAAATAAAATTATTTTAAAAGTTAAGATTATACGCAAACATAAATATTATAAAATCAAATATATTACTTTATATATTTTAAAAAAATTCAAGAGGAAAATAATTATAAAAACAAATAAAAATACATTTTTTTATCCCAATATAAAGTTATTTTATTAAACTATAAGTTTTATCGCTAAAAAATACATTAACACTTACTATATAAATTTCATACTTATTCATAAATTTTTAATTTATCGAATTATAAATATTTATTTACATTGTCATAAATTAATTATTTTTCATCAAACTTGTGAGTATAAATATGAAACTTTGAATTATAAATTAAATCTAAATTTTATAATCACGTCAAAAAAATCTAAAAGGCGATTTCAAAGATTCAAAAGTTGAATATAAATGGATTTTCAAAGATTCATTACTTATAAACATTCCAGTGCAGCAATCTACACCGTCACTTTAATACCCCACTTTCCACCATCAACGGTCTGGATTCAGTTCTGTATCCTCATTATATTTTCCCTCGAACTGGGGTTTTAAGCTCACTTCACTGGGTTTATATTGGGAAAAGAACTTCTAACAATGGCTAAAATCAAGTCCGTTAAAGCTCGTCAGATCTTCGACAGTCGTGGAAACCCTACCGTTGAAGTAAGTTGTTGCTTTCATTTCATCCATTTAGTATATAATATTTTCTGTTTTCTTATTGCTATGTTTGGCTGACGAGAACATAACTTGATTTGGTGGTGAATCATGAATGCTGGTTGAATTGAATGACAAATTAACAGGTCGACGTTACTCTATCTGATGGTACGGTAGCAAGAGCCGCCGTGCCCAGTGGTGCTTCCACCGGTAATTCTATTTTCATATTCTCACTTTTATCCGTTTAAGTTACATTTCTTCATTTTTCATTTTGCCAGTTATAGTTAAAAATTTAAAAGAAAACCCTGAATTTGTACTATCAATAGAGGTGAGCGTTGTATAGAGTAGAGAAAAAAATTCAAGTTATCTGAGTTGACGAGTCTTATTTTATAATTCAAACTTTATTTGAATTCTTTTTAAATTTAATTGTAAATTATATATAATATTATGGTACTATTTTATTCCAATTTAACGGTTTTCTCTAACCATGTGCAATAGATATATATTTTTTCATATGTGATATACATATATTATACTTAGAACTTAGTTGAGAGACTCGACTTAAACTTGAAAATCAATTAACTAATTACTAACAATTTATAGTTATTTGAGTTCTATTTTATAACTCGACTTGAATTTAAAAAAATTTCGAGTATAATTTATAAAATTACAAGTCAAATCAGTTCGAATCGAATTGAAAAAATCAAAAAAAAATTTGGTAGAATCCAGTTTTGCTCACCCCTAACTATCAATATGTGTTACTGACCTTCACCTGACTTACTATGGAAGGCATATATGAAGCTCTGGAATTGAGGGACGGAGGATCTGACTATCTTGGAAAGGGTGTGCTTAAGGTAACTTTATTTTTCTCATTGTTGCAAGGCCTATGGGTTTGAGTCAAATTTTATGTATTCTTCGTTTTTAGGTATTGTATTCATAATCATTTTATAACTTTATTAATGAATGACAATGGCTGTTGGGCACGTATACATGTATTTAAATATTGATGGAGTTGAACCCTAGGTCTGGTCTCAGTGGTTAAAAGGAATTTGTTCTCCTTAGATGACCTGGGTTCGAGCAGTGTAGACTGCACGTGTGTGAGTTTAGATATAGATCTTTTAAAGAAAAGTATTGATGGAGTTGAACTGTTTGTGATGGTTTTATCTTCTTGTTGATTTTAGGCTGTGGAGAACGTTAATACAATTATTGGACCTGCTTTGGTCGGCAAGGTGTTTAATGGGACTCTTAACTCATGATTTTCTTTCTTATAAATATATACATATATATATATTTTCTACGATCAAGTCCATTGATGTGTTTTTACTTGTATCTCGTTAATCCTTTAATGTTAACAGGACCCAACAGAGCAGGTGAAAATTGATAATTTCATGGTACAACAGCTTGATGGAACAGTTAATGAATGGGGTTGGTGCAAACAAAAGGTACATACATCTATATTATCTTATTATTATTATTTCTTCGGGTTATTTTTAATTGCTATCTTTTAATTTAATGGACGATTATTTCAGCTTGGAGCAAATGCTATATTGGCTGTTTCACTTGCTGTTTGTAAATCAGGAGCTATGTTGAAGAAGATTCCCCTCTACCAGGCGTGTATTATGCTGTCATCTTGACCTGTTTGATTTTTCTCCTAATTTAACTTTTCTGTAGATGAACATGTTTTGCACCTTCTAACTTGCAGCACATTGCCAACCTTTCTGGAAACAAGACCTTAGTCTTGCCTGTACCTGCTTTCAATGTTATCAATGGAGGTTCCCATGCAGGCAATAAACTAGCAATGCAGGTAGGTAAAAGGATGATTTGATGCCCTTTCTCTTTATTGAAATCTTTGACTGTTTGGTACTTGTTTAGGAATTCATGATCCTTCCTGTCGGGGCATCTTCTTTCAAGGAAGCCATGAAGATGGGTGTAGAAGTATATCATCACCTGAAGGTAGATTTTCTTCCAACTCCCATTGCTACTTGTTTCCTACACTTGTAACTTGTCTTCACTTGTGTGCTCTTTCAGGCTGTTATAAAGAAGAAGTATGGACAAGATGCTACCAATGTTGGTGATGAAGGTGGCTTTGCTCCTAACATTCAGGTCCATAATGAGCTTTTTTGATTATGAACCAACTAATTTATGTTGGAGGTTTAGAATGAAGGCCTTTCACTTCTCTTATTAATGAAGCAAATGTTTAGAACGAAATGACTTGCTATGCCGGAGATTAGATTTTAATGAGCAATATCTCAGGGTCCGAATTGTACCAATCATTTGAATAAGAAATTTAAATTGCATTGCATTGGTGTTATAATTTGCAGGAAAATAAAGAGGGACTTGAACTTTTGAAGACAGCTATAGCAAAAGCAGGGTATACTGGAAAGGTTAATTTCTGAAATAATTGGCATATTAGCCTAAAATGGCATGGTTGACTCATTATCTAGGGTGCTTTCTCTGAAAGCTTTTCACAAGCATTGACTTTATTTTTTTGTTGACAGGTTGTAATTGGAATGGATGTTGCCGCTTCAGAGTTTTATGATAAAAAGGATAAAACCTATGACTTGAATTTCAAGGAAGAGGTAAAATATGTCTATTTCATTTGGATCTGCCTGTTTCTTGTAATCTTCACTTAATTTAAAGGTAAACCGGTTGCTTAGCAAAGAACTGTTGCTGCAGAACAATGATGGATCCCAAAGAATTTCAGGCGACAGTTTGAAGAATGTTTATAAGTCGTTCGTGACTGATTATCCGATCATCTCCATCGAGGATCCGTTTGATCAGGATGATTGGGAGCACTACGGAAAATTGACTAGTGAAATTGGTGAACAAGTGCAGATTGTTGGTGATGATCTCCTTGTCACAAATCCTAAGGTAAAAGATTTTATGATTTGGGATAAAATACAAAGGTTGACTTTATGGAGTTCTTAAGTGCTTTATGTTTTATGCCTGTTTCAGCGTGTGGAGAAAGCAATTAAGGAGAAGACATGCAATGCGCTTCTGTTGAAGGTAGCCTTTAACTGTGTCCCCTTCAACTAACCATTGTACAAGATATAGATGCTATTGATGCTCTGTAATTTGTCAGGTGAATCAAATTGGTTCTGTAACTGAAAGTATTGAAGCTGTAAAAATGTCTAAATCTGCTAGATGGGGTGTCATGGCAAGTCACCGAAGGTATGACTCCCTCACATCGCAATGCCCCACTATTTGTTTTTGTTATATCGATCTCTTCTGTTTAATAACTAAAATGTCATTTATTTGAAGAGTATATTGTTTGATTGAGATATCAGTGTTATATACCCCTCCTTACGCTCGTGTTTGTTTCCGATGTAGTGGTGAAACCGAGGATACTTTCATAGCTGACCTTTCAGTAGGGTTAGCGACAGTAAGTGTTACAATGATCATATTTTACTTTTCAGTTTTCACCAAAGAAACAATGATTCTTGCCTTTTAGTTTAACTATATTTCCATTTTTGTGAGGTATTGACCTCCTTTATTTTTCCGAAACAGGGCCAAATCAAGACAGGGGCTCCTTGCAGATCGGAACGTCTTGCAAAGTACAACCAGGTAAAAGGCTTGTTCATGCTATTGATTAAGCTTGTAGATTTAGGCACATTCAGCTAACTGTATTATTCTTTCTAGGAAGCGAGTCTACAATGGAACTAATTATTTTATGATATGAACTGCACTATTGCAGCTTCTGAGGATCGAAGAAGAACTCGGAGCTGCTGCAGTTTACGCAGGAAAAAAGTTCCGAGCTCCAGTAGAACCTTACTAAGCTCGTTGACGGTTTCTTGTGTTGCAATCCAGCGTCCTTGCACTTGGTTAGTAGTAGGGGGAACTCCTAGTGTTAAACTAGTAAGCACAAAGAGGTGGTTTTGGTTTATGAAACCTTATTTTTAAAGTTGCATTGTGATGCTTTGATGTGTCTCAACTCTTACCTTGGGTACTTATGCTTCTAATGAAGGCTTAATCCAAAATTAAGTATTTAAATTATACTCTTTTAGGGGTCTGAAGTTTTTTCCCCCAAGTGTTTAACATTGTCAATGTCATCAAAAAATCACATGCAATGCATGTGACACTAGAAACTAGTGTATAGAAGTATATTAAAATGGAAAACATTAAATTTGTAAAAGAATTAAAAAATAATTGTTGTTAATAAACATAAAGAAAAATGAAAATAGAAATGTATTAGAATTATGGGTAAAGTATACAAATGATACCCCGATTATAGGATGTTTTGTTGAGTCTCTAAATTATTAAAAGTCACAAAATAATTCTTTAACTATAAGGCGTTTTATCAAGTTTTTTGACTTTTTAAAAATTACAAAATGATTATTAAATTATTCACATGTTTTAAATTTATTTATTTTTTGTTAAAAAATTGAAAGTAGTCTGAACGTTAACTTGTTGACTGAGATATAATAAAATCATATTTTAATAATTTTTATTGCTATCGCTGTTACTTTCAAGCACTGACTTGACGACATAATATTTTAAACATTTACTCGAAGACATAATGTAAATAAATATTTAATTCACAAAATATGAATCAAATAGTTTTGAGGTCAGATTTTATCATATCCTTATGAGCATATTAACGTCCATCTCAAACAATTGTTAAATTTTTAACAAAAAAATGAATTTAAAATATATAAATAGTTGAGTGATTATTTTATATATTTTAATAATTGAATAACTCAATAAAATATCGTCTTATAGTCAAAGGAGTATTTTATAATTTTTAACAGTGAAATCAACTACCTAATTTTACCCTAGAATTAAATAAAAAGTGCATTCAAACCCTAAGCCATTCGATAAATTTTGAGAAGGAAAGAGAAGGGGGGGAAAACTCTTGAGGTGAAATTTCAACAAGGAATCTCAGGTGTTCAAATTTCCTATTCTAATTCCTCAAAATTTTAAAAATTTGCACTATTTATACTTTTATATCTACTGTTTTCCCTAATGAATCCCGAAACTTCTCCTGTGGCTGCTGCTGCTGTATCTTTGCCTTTGGAACTGCCATCACATTGATGCTTCCAAATCATTTAGTCTTTGTTTCAGAAAATTACCACAAGCTTCCTGTGTTAAGCTGCTGCAGTAACTTAGACCGGAGCATCTTCGTTGAGAAACCGTGCACGCTTACATCTCCCTTGTTTAGCCACGGGAAGAATCTCTATCAGTATCACAGAGAAATCAATGATCAAATGCAATTTGATTGTCATTTTAAAAGATTTATATCATTTTCAACTTCATGATGTACGGGTATCAGCCGAGTTGGATAACCCCATCTGGATTACCAATTCTGTCATACGGATCCTCCGAGGGAAGATACCGAGCCGGTCCAATCGAGCCGCGTGAGAGTAAATTAGAGCGCGAAGATGTTTGGGTCATCTCCGGCAGGTTCTGTGAGGAGGCGGAGGGAGACGAAGGATCGGACTGAGAGCTGGAGGAACGGTGTCGTTTAAGGTACAGTTGGAGGAAGTATAAGAGAGCCGAAGATTAAGCCTCCTCTTCCTTGGACCACGCCCTGGAGAGGTACTACGAGGCGCATGGCGTTGGCTTTAGGGTGTTGAATGGAGCGGGTCAGGGTCATGACCCACCCGAAACGAGAAGATTGTGATTTGAGAAAAAAAGGGAAGATTTGACTTTGATGGGAGAGCGAGACAATAAGTAGTAGTATTATTTTTGTTGTCTTTTCTAATCTATGTAGTATTTTATGTTTTATACACATATTGTTTAAAAAATAAAAAATTATTATTAAATAATTAATATATATTTTAAACAAATAATATCTTACATTAATCCGAATTATCAAACAAAAATGTTTCGCATTTTGTTTCCTTCTCTTTTCTCTCGGGAATGTAGTATTATTTTCTTGTTCAAAGAGTTTTTATGTTTTTATCTTAATGCCATCTTATTCTATATTGAAGTTAATTGCATCACGTGTCTATAAAGTATGGCTTTCATTTTAAATTGATCTTTAATTTTTAAATGTTTTAATTTCATCCTTAAATTATGACTATCATTTTAAATTAGTCCCCAACCCTTTTAATATTCTAATTTCACCCATAAACTATGACTTTCATTCTAATTGATCCCAAACTTTATTAACATTCCAATTTGTTCTCAAACTATACGTATATACCAATCACATCCCTTGTTAATAAAATTGTTAGACCAAATTATATTATTATATGTTTGTAAAAACAAATTTTAGGTTAAACTATGGTTGAAACTAATTGCATATTTTGATGAATTTGGGGGTGAAATTGGAATATTCAAAAGTTTGGGAATCAATTTATAAAGAGGGTCATAGTTGTGAGATGAAATTAGAATATTCAAAAGTTTAAGGATTGATTTAGAATAATAGTTTAGGGATGAAATTGGACTATTCAAAAGTTTAAGAACAAATTTAAAATGAGAATTATAATTTAGAGACATATGAAACAATTAACTCTTTATAATATCATTGTAAATTTTTTCGAGTTCAAATCTTCTTTTCTTGAACTCTCATATTATATTGTAGGGAGAATAAATATAAATTTAAATTATAAAAGATATTTATTAAGTATTTTCTTAAATAAAAAATTATCAAAAAAATTTAAATAAAAAATATAATTTTTTTAATAATCTGAATTGGTTATAAGATAATATTTGTTCATAATATTTTTTAATTATTAATAACACGCAAACACTTTAGAAATACAGTTACTTAAATTCAAGATCTCAAAAAAAACATTTACTTTAATCAGTAACGTTACTCAATAGATTCATTAAAAAAAAACATAACAAGTTAATCGTATAGATAACAACCTGATTTGATCCTCAAATTGACTGATTTAGAACAATATTAGATAAATTCGATTTGATGACATTGATAAACTGCTAAATTAACCAGTTTTCGATTGAATAAGTGAATTAAGTCCGACTAGTCGTGAATCACATGTAATATAGAGCAAGTTAATTTGGTAATGGATTATTTACAAGTAGAACGATAATTTGTCATGAAATAAGCGGTAGTGGATTAAAAATATTTTTTAAAGTTAATATATATATATATATATATATTATAAAATAAGTTTTTTGTATGGATAATATAAAATTAAATTTTAAGATTAACACCTTCAGAAAAGTGAACAATTAATATAAAAATTTTAGATTTTAAAATGTACATGTATTCATGCTAAAAAGAAATACATCCGCGGCCATAGAAAAGAAGCCAGATGGTTAACCCTAACACTTGTAGAGAAAAGACATGGACACTTTTCTAGTTTTATGTGGCATGAATTCATCTCATAACAAATTTTATATTATATATATATATATATCCACATTTAAAAATATTTCAGGATCTATTATTAATCATTGGTCATCATATGCAATGCAAGCTATAAGTAAGCTCATGACACTTGGGTCCCTGACAATAGCGGATGTAAGTGTTGTTGTCCACCATGAAATTCGAATTTCTTATAGATGACATCCGCTCTAAAATCTTAATTGTTTGAAAGCAATATGGTTAATGTTTCCAAAAGCTTTCGTGTTTCGCCGTCGCCAGGCTCGGTTCCGATGGTCACTTTGCCTCTCACTTATCTTGACATACCATGGTTGTCTTGCCAAACTAAGTATAACATTATATATATGGAACGAAATATACTTACATTCGGTGTAAAATTAATAGTTTTACACTTTTTTTAGAACAGTTAGATGAGAGAAATCAAAAAATAAGAGTAAAAAAATGTGAATGCTAACCTTTTTTATATATATATACACACACGCTATAGAATAAATAAATATATATTGCAGCATATAAAGTCATATTTCTAGTCACCAATACCGAATTAAGATCACATTTCATAAAACAAACTTAACTCATGATCCAACTTCGATAAGATAATAAATTTAGGATGTCAAAACTCCATCACAATGTCTGAACAAGTCAAATAATGGATCAAATATGTTCCATGAAGCGTGGACCTTAATTTTATACAAATGACTCCAATTCAAACTTCATGTGCTAGGGGAAACAAAATCTCAAAATGTGCTATTTGAAACTAAAATCCAGTATAGCAGTTTCGAGTAACCAATTTTTTTAACTTTCGCAAATAGCATCTCTAACATCCTTAATTCCAGTCTTATTATACACATATTGCGAGTTATAGTAATCAAAGTAGGCAAGTTTGAAGAACGGTAAACAAAAATAAACAAATTCAAGAACGGTAAACAAAAATAGACAAGTTGAGTATATATATATATGAGAAATACTAGGGTCCAAACATGAACCAAAAATAAACAAATTCAAGGACTAACGTGGGAAAAAAATATAACCTAACAGTATTAAGAGAAGAGACTAACTTGTTTCAGGGACTAATGTGGTAAGAAAACTTAGGACCACTATAGAAAAAGTAGTCAAATGCAAGGACTAAATCAAACTTTATTCCCTGATTATATAAATCTTTGAAGATAAAACAAATTCAACCATCAATTAACTCATTCTAAATCAAACATTGATTTCAGTGTAGAAGTAGATTCCAGGCATATAATCTTGTGTATTAGTGTATAGGGTTACAACTCACATGACAAGATTAGACTCGGTCCTGAGTGCTCAAAATGCAAAATCAATATACAAAGAATTATAAAGAATATATTTAATACATATATGAACGTGCATGATACTTCTCAGCAGACATCCCATGAATTTTGGGCTGATATTAAACCGCTAACACTTGCAAATGAGTATGAATCCCAAGTATAACCTGACTACCATAACATAGGATTGGTCAGTGTAACCTATTATGTGCTTCAATGATGGCAACTTTCTCCTGAAAGGAAAAATGAACATAAAAAAATGATGGGTCGTGTTTGTATGCAAAGCTATTTGTGTGCATATCCATGAAGGTGGAAAAAAAGAGAGACCTCGTTCTGTAAGCCGCTGTCGGAGGGAAACCATTGCAGAAGAACACCCAAGTTCATCACATATGGTATCAATTTGAACATAAGAGGAGTTGTTACCTACGCAAGTAATTCGCCATCATTAATGTTGCAGCAATGAAAAGGAGAAAGAAAAGCTAACTATAAACAACCTTCAAAGTGTTGTTTGCAAAACGTGAAACCTACCAGGCTAAGAGCTGTTGTTCCAAGCAGAAGAAGATACATCTTTCCCTTAATCATCAACCAAAATGAAGTCAGTACTTGCAAAGAAACAGTTACAATGATGATGAAGTTGACATTTATTTAGTTAATTGAAAAAAAGGTTTAAATGTTGGGTTATATAACGATTCTAAAAGTTGCAAAGAATCTAATCTGACCATTTAAGTGAGAAATTTGGATTTGACCTATTTGAATCATCCCTGAACCTATCAGTATTGTACATTTGTGAACCAGAATATCATGCTTTCACTGAAGAGCAACAAGCACCTCAGCAATTTATGCATGTGAAATGTTCCTTTTTTTTTCTAGAATTATGAAACATTATTTCAATAACGACAAGCGTGTGATAAAAGGAAAAGGAGATCAATCATCAATAAACAATAAAAAAAAAGTTTTTTTAGACATGCAAAGACAACCGTTCACATTTTGACATGGCACGAAAGAAAGGGGTACCTCAACAAGGTGAAGATTTGAGGCACGACTTAGAAGAACAAAAGCAAATTCCCCAATTTGGGCGAGCAACACTCCCACCTATATGATAGATGAACAAATTGAAAAGGATGCACAAATTATGTAATAAAAAAAAATGTTATTTGTGCATAGGAGTGAGCAAACAATCTTACATGGAAAGATGTCCTAACTCCATATCCAAAAGCCTTGGCAACCGCACAGGCAACAGCAGTCTTAACAACAATAACTAGAATAACAGAGGCCAGTAGTATATCCACGTGGTTCCACAGAAAATGTACATGAATGAGCATCCCAATACCAGAAAGGAAGAGTGCTGCAAATAGATTGCGAATTGGTTCCACCTATAATTTTGTCATTCCTATTAGAACAGAAACATGACTCATAATATAATCTTTCAAAACAAAGAAATAAAGCCACAGCGTATGTTAGACTCAATCTCCTAAAACACAAAGCACACTATACAATGTCTACCAAAATATTAACCACTAAAAAAATTCCAAGATTAAATAGCAACAAATGTCTACCAAAATTTTACCTTAAAAATTCTTAAGAAACTAATTGAAAAGTTAAATAGCCATGAATCCTTTTAAGGCAAAGAAATAAAATACGAAGGTATGGGGCCTTGTCAATAATCAGTGATTACCTGGTCTAGTGTATGCTGCGCAAAATCAGTAGTAGATATCATAACCCCAGCAACAAATGAACCCAACTCAAGGCTGAGACCCAACTTATCACTGCACTGTGAAGATTACAGAAGTTTTGAGTGTTAAGAAGGTGATGGGGAACTTTTGCATGCAGCGATACAGCAGTTGTATTAATCATCACAAGCAAAATAAACTTACCCAAGCAGACAATAAGCAGAAAGCCACAGCAGCAAGCTGATAAAGTTCATTTGTCTGGATCATAAAATGAAACCAAATGGACTAAAATTTTAGACTTATTAAAATAAATTTGCATAATACAAAAGATAAAATATGTTCAACTTACTTGAGATGATATCTGCATCATTAACTTTAGGAATCGAGGGACAAACGACCAAGACAATAGAGATGCAACAGTAAGATAAATTGATAATACCAATATCCTGAGATTGATCACCAGCAAGTGTCAGATCCATTCAAGTGAAGTCAACCGCCAACAACAGAGGGAAAGCTAATTTTGGAAATAAGGGCAGAAATGGAAGGGCCGCAATAAGGAAAACAGAATAACAGGGAAAAACAAAAGAAACTTACAACTTTCCCATTGATGCCATTCCATGTAGTAGGCCACTGCTACCACCCAAAACTGGGAGCAAAGCAAATAACAAACCAACAGCACAATCCTGAAATGGCCAGAGGTAAGGTAATGAATGGATATGCAGCAACAAAATCAAGTTTCTGAATCCAAATTATAATTAAATAATACTTGATAGGTCATCACTTCTCTTCAACCTGAAAAATTAGAGTCCCAATAGTAACTTGACCATGAAGAGAATTAGTGCTATTCCGTTCTACTAAAAACTTCACAACCTGATAAAAATACAAGGAAAGAATGGATGATTATTAAATGCATCCAACAGCAACGAAAAAGAAAGAAAAATACTAGAAACATAAAAAAGTACAGAAAAGTACAATTGCAGTTGACGACATTGAGAGGAAGGAACCAACAAATACACCCTCAGATAAATTTGCTCCACATAACTGCAAGATTAAGAGATGTCTTATTTCAGTGTCCATCTTACAGGTGCTCTTAGCTGAAAAGATGGAAAAAGTGCTAGAAACACCTTACCACTGCAATTATGCCACACAAGCACATAAATATCACAATTTGAAGCAGTCCTCCAAAAACAGCAACTGGCCCCACAACTTTTAACTGCAGCAAGAATTAGTTGAAACAGCTTCCTTGAAATAAGATACAGGAATTTCTATGCTAAAGCATCTGAAAGTAAGAACTCACGCCAAATATCCTACCTTCGCCAAAGAAAACTCTAGCCCAAGAGCAAAAAGAAGAAAGACAACACCAAACTGTGCAACAGTTTCAACCTACAAAAGAAGAAAAAGAATACCACCAAAAAAGGAAAATCATATCTTTGATTTCAATTTTTTGTGAAAAGACACATCAGAGAATGAATATTCAGATGATATGATTTGGGCATTAGCAGTTGCTATCAGGTGAAAAGATTTTCAATAATGAAATAACACCAAAGAAGAAAGAGCATACCACCAAAAATAAGGAAAATCATATCACTAACCGACTATTTTTTTTGTTAAAAACACATCAGAGAATGAATTGCAGATTAATTTAGGCATTATTAGTTGTTATCAGCTGAAAATATTTTCAATAATAAATGAACAGGGAAAAATCACATTTTTGAGGATATAAATTCCAAAAGTCTGAAATTTATTAACAAAGAAGAAAAAATGAAAATATCTTTCAAGGTAACGTCTTGAGCATGGCTCATAAAGCATGTTTCCCCTCCATGGTACCATCCCTAAAGCTATCTCAATATTAGAAAATGGCATATTCTCAAACATTGAGGCATATAATACTGTTATTAAGAAACAAGAAGCTCGAGCTATTATAAATGACATACCTGTACCATTTCACTAATGAATTTCAAACCCCCTGGTCCAATAAGTGAACCCGCAAGAAGATAGCCCACAATAACCTAACATGCGCATAGATTTGGCAAAAGTAAAGAAAGACAACTTCTGTTAGCAACTTTCATGATATAGCTGCATATCAAACTCAAGAAAAAGAAAGCGGCCATTGGACAGAAAGTAAAGCAAATGCTAATCTTAGATATACAAACCGGTTGCCCTAGACATGAAAAAATAATACCACCAATGGCAGCAGAGACTATGACAACCACCAGATCTGATATCAATCTGCACAAGGGTGGTAAAGTATGTCACAAACTTCATTTTATTTGAGAATAGAACAATCAATCTCAAAATTGTATATTATATACAAAATCAAAACAAGGGGAGTACCAGAACTAAGCCAAGGATAGTTTTCAATTATTCATCACAATGCCAACCAACTTGTAGCAATACGAAAACCAGACACTGGATCAGGATAAAATGCAAAAATAAAGGAGATGAAGATGCTAACCTCAAATCAACTTGGAGTACTGGATACTTAGATTTTCTATTTGACATTACAAACACATTATCCTAACATCAAAAGAGAGGCAAATTAGAAAGGATTCAATTAATTGCAAAACCTACCAACATAAAACTGTGCTATTAATCCTGCTACGCAGAGGGGGAAGCTGACAATTGACCCACCTTTTTATCAATCAAGGTTGTGGTCTCATCAGAATCTTCATTTTCCAGAGAAAAAACATCGTTAATCTGGAATAATTTTGTGCCACTGTTGAAAATTTTAATGTTGAAAAATTTGTCAACTCATCAAAAAATCATTAACTTTATTAAATGTTTATTCCTCCAAAAAAAATGTACTCCCATACTTTGTCTCTTGCGTATCATTTCTCCTCCCCTTCTCATGAGTTATTTTAGCTACAGTCTCAAGTACAGCCTGAAAAGCATATCGGGAAGTATCCTTTAAAAAGACACCAAAATGAACAAATACACAGAAAACACATGGGTCACCTATGAAAGAAAAGTAAAGGGCATATAATTCTAATATGCATGATATCCAAACACAATTTTTCTTGAATAATTAAAGGAACCTAAAACACAAGCGATTACATCAACCAATATTTGGGTATCATGATCAAATCATACACATATTCGAGATCCCTCGGTAAATTGTCTTCTTTTTTCCTTTGGGGGCCTACTAAAGTTTGGAAAAAGATTTGAAGAAAACAAAAATAGTAGAAGATTTATATATCTGATTTCAAACCAGAACCACAAATCCAGTCCACTAAAAATTTAAAAGAGAAATAGGGCATTGGCATCAAAATTAGCATAAAAGACTAAAACTAAAAAGGAAACATTCTAGTCAAGTTTCCCTGGCACCAAAACACTTAAAAAGGATTCCAGTCAAAGGAACGGGCTTCAAAGGAGAACCAAACCTACTTGCTGATCAGCTACACTAGAATTGAAATTGCTTGCGTCAGTTCCTAAAAAAGAAGAAGAAAGAAGATAAATTATCAGGCAGCGAGCATAAAAGGTCCAATAAAGGTTCATAAGTTGACTGCAAATGATACATCATTCACAGATCTAAATGATGATCATAAAAGATATGAAGACTCTAATTTGCTTAAATTCAAGTTCGACTCAATGCAAGTCAAAGGGACAAAACGCGCGATAGAAATAAGCGTGTGGCACTGGCAGTACGGCGGGTTTTTATAACCTCACATGCTTTTCGTTCTTGTTCATAATAAAATCAAAAGAAAACAAACTGGTCTTGTGGCTATATATTGTTTTTACTTCAATGCCCTTTTCTGCAAAACCTTATTTTAACTACTGATGGAATAGGTGAGAGCTCTTGCTGAAAGTTTGAACTTAAAACCGAGCCTGCATTTTTTGGGGTGACTTAACAAAACCTCCAACAAAAAGATCAAGATCCAACTATTCGGATTGCCTATTAAAGGATTCAAACATTTAAAAGGGATTACTATAAACAGGAAGAAGAAAAAAAAGTGAGTACGGAAAACAAACCTGCAGTTTGATCATTTTCGGAGAACTCCTTCTCAAGAACCCGATCGAACATTTTGGCAATACTCCCTTCCCCGTTACCCGTGGACGACGAATTCACCAGGTTACCGTAAAACCTTTCCCGGATTTCCTTATCAGATCTAACCGATACGCATATCCTGGCGTATAATAGCACCAGCACCAAACAATAAACAGATCCAAGAACTCCACATTTCGAGGAGCAAATCGCCATTGATTCCGTAAATCTCTATCTTTAAACAAATTTTGCAGGAAAAAAATGCAAAAGAATGCAGGAAGGGATGTGGTCGGAATTTGAAATCTGAAATGGGAAGAAGGAAGTTTATAGACGCAGGTAATTTCGTTATTTGGGATTTAATTGTGGGATTGTATACATTATAATATATTTAATAAATTCAATTTAGCGCTACCGGAAATATATATTTAATAATAATGTAGTAGATCTAAATCATGAAAAAATATTAAAAAATTTGGCAAAGGCAAACTTAGCTTTTCGATTTGTGTCGATACAAATGAAAAATGTATCGCTCCATAGTAATATTACAGGTAAAAATATGACAAAACCGGTCCCAAAATAATAAAACCGGTAAAACGCTACCGGATATATTGAAAGTGTCGATAATTTAATATAAGTATCGAAACTTTCTGAATTTAAAAGAGAAGAAGTTATAGTGCCTAAAAGTATCGACACTTTATGAAAATGTATTGATCCATAACAATATAACAGGTAAAAATATGATAAAACATGTCTTAAAAATGACAAAACCAGTAAAAAGATACCGGATATGTTGAAAGTGTCGATAATTTAATATAAGTATCGACACTTTCTGAATTTAAAAGAGAATAAGTTATAGCGCCTAAAAAGTGTCGACGCTTTATGAAAATGTATCGATCCATAACAATATAACAACTAAAAATATGACAAAATCGGTCTCAAAATGACAAAACATGTAAATAACTACCAGATATGTTGAAAGTGTCGATACTTTCATATAAGTATCGATACTTTCTGAGTTTAAAAGAGAAGAAGTTATAGCGCCTATAAAGTGTCGATACTTTTAAAAAATGTATTGATCTATAATAATATAACAGGTAAAAATATGACAAAACAAGTCTCAAAAATGACAAAATAGGTATAAATATATCGAATATGTTGAAAGTGTTGATAATTTAATATAAGTATCGACACTTTTGAAATTTAAAAGAGAAGAAGTTATAGCGCCTATAAATAATCGATATTTTAAAAAAATGTATAGATCCATAACAATATAACAGGTAAAAATATGATAAAACCGATCTCAAAATGACAAAACCGGTAAAGCACTACCGGATATGTTGAAAGTGTCGATACTTTAATAAGTACGCGTAATAAATTATCGATACTTTCAAAGAAATAGGTAAACATCCTATCGAAAGTATCGACACTTGACATAAAAGTATCAACACTTAGGTAGTTGTATCGATTAAATATAAATAACATATCCGGTGTAAATATAAAGACATAACTAAATTTCCTCTGAAAATATATAGAGTTTTTGAAATCGAAGCGTAATTGTTGTTGCATTTCAGAAGGCGTTTCTACGTGAAGTTTTGTTTGTTTGTTGCTACAGTCGAATCGAAATGTACGTTATTGAAACCCTAGTTTTTTATTATTACAGTAATGGAAAATAGGAATTTTATGTGTTGTTGTTTGGGGTTTTCGAAGTAAAGAAGCATTTGAGACCGATATCGATACTTTTATTTAATATTTATAGGTAAAAAATGATATAATAGGTAAAAAATGATATTATAGATAGAAAATGATATTTTAGGTTGTATAAATATGCCGACACTTGTTGTAGTGGCCATTCAAATTCTTTTGAAGACCAACCGTTTTACCACAAAGAGTAGTTATTGATTTTTGTATATTGAATAAAGTGTATGTAAGCATTATTTGATTTGATTTGATTTGTGCAAACTGATATATGAAGGAAAAATGAAGTCAATGGGAGGAAAGCAACCAAAGGGTGGATATATGTACTTCTAGTAAGTATCAGTCTTTTTGTTATTATTATTGAAATGGTAATTGGATTAAAGTATTTAAAAACTTTAAATTGATTACAAATTTTAAATGTTGATAGTATGGCCGAATGCAAAAGGATGAAGGAAGATGACACACACAGCGGTTCGGTATGTAAAATGAAATTGACATTGAATATTATTTAGTGTTAATGTATTGATTAAGAAACGTTTATGCTTAATATTAGGTGACAAAAGATGTGAGGTCGAAATGGAATTCGATGAGTAATGCTGAAAAGGAACCTTACATCACACAGTCAAGGAATGATAGTAAATAATACAAAGAACGAATGAAAGCACATGAAAAGAATATTTTCATTAAACTTGTAAATACGTTGATACATGATATATAAGAACAATAACATTATATATTGTTAAAAAATGTAGGAAGTGTAACATCCCAAACTATGGGTTAGTGACTAAATAGTAAAGTTTCAGAATTTAGTGGTTAAAATAGAAGAATTGATTAGTTTAATGATTTATCTGGAGATAAATCCTAAAAGTTTTAGTAATTATTGAATGAATTAATGTGTAAAATGGTCTTTTTATCTAAAAGATAATTATCTTATCTCTTTATTAAGAGATAAACATATAGGGAGATATTTCTCCAGAACTTCTCCTTCTCCTTCCTCTCCTCTCGTAACTCCAAGCTCAAAGGTGAGTCTTCTACTTAGTTAATTATTTGTTAATTTTAATATTTGGGTTTTGATCATTAGATGATAACTAAGCTAAAGGAAAGCTTAAGTTATCTTAACATCAAAGGATGATGGAGTTAGGAGAGATTTAAGATTTGAAGTTCTTAAATGAAATCTTGGAATAGAGTTCATAACTAGAATCGAAAGTTGGATTTGACTTGTCATCAATCTAAGAAAGAGATATGAAGCAATAGAATTGGATTTGTAACATGTTGCAAAATTGATGTAATTATTGAATTACATATGAAGGATAGGACTTTGAGGTTTAAGATGAAATAAATGAGTATAAATTGGTTTAAGTATGTGTACTAGAGTTAAGAATGAAAAAGGGGATGAAACATGAAGGATTTAATCCAAAATGAATGAACTTCCGGGTTCAAAAAGAGGATTCTGGGTAGAGTGCACCAATGCACATTCATAGTGCATCGATGCATCAAGGTTAAAACCCAGAAATTGTTTGAATGTGCACCGATGCATTGGTAGTGCATCGATGCACTCTTTTAAAATAAAGACATCGAATGCAATTCGTGCATCGATGCATAATTAGTGCATCGATGCATCCCATTAATAGTGAAACATCGAATGCAATCGGTGCATCGATGCATAAGGAGTGCATCGATGCATCCCATCAATAATACTACATCGAATACCTTTTATGCACCGATGCATCAGTAGTGCATCGATGCATACCTTCATTAAAAGATGAAGTTGACTTTTCTCTTAGTCTAAAGAGTGAACCATTAGGGTATATTAGTTATAATACTGATATAGATCCATGTGTGATTATGTAGATACTAAAAGTAAGCTTATTCCGGAACGATCAAAGGATTAGAATCGAATCAAAGCAAAGCTAAGGTAAGTGCATACTATATGTATATTATAATGGAATAAGACTTGTGATAAGTCTAATCCCTATGTTGATTTTTATAATATAATAGTTGTGAACATGCATACATGATAATTGTTGTGATACATGCATAAGACATATATATGTTCATGTGATATGATATGTGATATGACATGTGATATGAGAACATGATATGAAGTGACATGAGCTACATGATCACAAGAGAAATGACATAAGTACATGAACATATGAAAAATAAGAATAATGCCTATAGTATACGATATGAGAACTATAGGTGTAATTGGCATGCCAAGAGTCGAGGGTTTACATATATTTAAAGGCACATATGAACAGTTTACATATGTTTAAAGGCACATATGAATAGTTTACATATGTTTAAAGGCACATATGAACAGTTTACATATGTTTAAAGGCACATATGAACAGTTTACATATGTTTAAAGGCACATATGAACAATTTATATATGTTTAAAGGCACATATGAACAGTTTATATTGTGACCTTTGGATCGTGGTCCTTCGGGACGAATACTGAACTAAGGTTCGGTGCCCCATGAGGGAATTGATACGAGCTGTGGTGACAGCATTAGTGCACAACCTCAATGCACTCACATACCTCTATTCTCAATAATATACATGGGCAATGCAATTGAAATACCAATTTAAAGTGAAAGTGATCCAAGAAGGTAAGTTTCTTATATGCATTATATGATTATATATGTTATCGTGTGATAGATACATGCATCTTGAAATGTCATGATCCAATGGCAAGTATGAACATTCATAAGTTTATTGTTGCATATTCATTTATTGCCTCACTAAGTCTATGACTTAGCGTGTAAGTGATTTACACGTAGGTACAAAGAATCAGGAAAAGTGGAAATAGAAGTAGCACAGACATCAATACTACTAAGAGATCAGATCAGAAGTAATTGACAAAGTATGTACTTGGTTATGTATAGAATGTGGGCATGTAATAAGTGTTAATTACGAATACTCTGATCGATTTTGTATTTTATGGTTTTATGTAAATTAATGTGTTTCATTTTAATGAAAGTTTTAAAAATTCCTGGGATTTTCAATAAGAGTCAAAGTTTGAAAAGTCAATGTGACACCTTGGACTTGTATTCGGGTCGGTTATGAGTTAAGGGTGTTACAGGAAGTGTCGAAAAGGTGCAGCATAAAAAGGGTGAATTCATTAATTGAACACCTTAAAGAGAATGATCATTTGAATGTGCTGAGGGAAATAGGGTTTAGATCGTTGATAGGAGTAGGGGATCGACCAATTTGGAGGGAATTGTGTCGATCCTTGATGGAGCAATTTGATGTCAAACAATGTATTGCTAAATATGGTGATTATTCATTCCCTCTGGGGTATCGACTGCTGCAACCATCTTGGGGGTACAAAACAAAGGTAAAAGTGTTGTTGAAGTCTGTAGGAGTAAGAACTGGAAAGCACTTGCCTCCAAATATGGTTTGAATCAGAAGGTGACATATGCTGCAGTTGAAGAGAATATCAAAAGTGGATCTTACGAGGGGGTGACCAGAAGGCCCGAGTTCTATTGTACCTTGTCGGGATATTTCTTTGTCCAACGGGTGATACGTCAACGAACAATGACGATATGAAGCTCATTTGTGATGAAGGCTTGAAGGGTGAATTCAATTGGGCT